CGCTGCGCCCCCCCCGCCCCCCCCCCCGCCACGTTCTCACCGAGGCTGGTGCCCCACTTCCTGAGAGTGGCCGCCCTGTGCCCGCAGGGCCAGTCATCTTCGTGGTAGGGTTTGCATCTTTCTAATGGGTAGAGACCTTGAGCATCTTTTCATGTGCCTGCGGCCATCTGCGCGTCTTCTTGGAGAACTGTCTAATCAGATCCTTTGCCCGTCTTTAAGTGGGTTCCTTTTTTTTCCTGTTGTTGATTTGTAGGAGGTCTTTATGTATTTCGATTACCAACTTCTTATCAGACTTATGATTTGTAATTATTTTCCCCTGTTCTACAGGTTCCCCTCTTACTGTATGTTCCTTTGTGCAAAGGTTTTTAAGCTTGACATACTGCCATTTGCCTGTTTTTGCAGGAGCGGGCCAGTGTTCATGCTTGAATAAGAGCAGATTGTAAAAGGCCGAGGATGGCAGGGAATGGAGGTGGGGAAGTCATCCTTATAGGAATCTGGTGCTGCTTGTCCTCCTCTGAGGGGCAGGGCCACCTTCCCCGTCCTGCCTGTCCCCATCCCCAGCTGCCTGTCCAAGTCCCAGAAACAAACCACCTTGGGTGAGTCCATGGCAACCGGGACCATTAGGTTACGCGTAGAGTTTCTTCAAAGAGAATAACCGAGATTCAGCCCAAAGCTGCAAGGACTATTTGGATTGCTCCGTTGGTCCAGGATCCTGTGTGAGGGTGGTGTTTCGGGCGCAGAACTGTGTTAGAATCAGTCTTCAGTTTAAATATGTATAAAATGGAGAGAGTAATTTTGCTGACTTGGCAAATGGAAGCAGTAGGTGAGACGAGGCATGTGAAGGTCCTAGAACAGGATTTATCTCAAAATGAGCTTAGTAATGGGGGGTCTGGATTCTCATTTTAATGAGTGGGCAGAGCCCAGAAGGTAAATAAAAGCTCTTCTCTGCTGTCATCTCTCATTCATCTTGGGAAGAACATGGAGTGCATGTCATGAAAAGTTTTATTCTCTTCCGCCATCTGCTGGGCGATTTGAAAACAACACTGCAGTGTAGGTAATGAGAGTTTTCTCTCCACCCCTATATTTTGTGCATCGTGGAAATAACAGCCCAGTGTGTGTTGTGAACTTACTCTCTGCGGCCATCCGGCGGGCATTGTGGAAATAACACTCGCGTGTATGTAATAGTTATTCTCTGATGCTATCTCGAGGGCATGTTGAAAATAGCACGCAGGTGTACGTCATCATGAAAAATGTTCTGCCCTCATCTAGCGTGCATCTTGCGAATAACACGATTGTAAGTCATGAGATTCTTTACTGCCATCTGGCGGACATTGGGGGAATAACGTCCAAGTGTATATCAGAAAAAGTTATTCAGTGCCGTCATGGTGGGCACCTCCCGAGGAACACCTGAGTGTATGTTATCATGAAAAGTTGTTATTGTTGCCATCCAGTGTGCATCCTGGCAGTCGCAGCTGGGTGTATGTCAGCGTGAGAAGTTATTTTTTTGCTGCCGTCTTGTTTTCACCTTCGATATAGCACCTTAGTGGGTGTCTCCAGCAAACTCTTCTCCACTTCCATCTAGTGCAAACCTGGGAGAAACATCTGAGTGGCGGTGACCACAGGTTTTTTTGTGCTGCCATCTAGTGTGCAAATTGGGAATAGTACCAAATAGACATCACCATGACAAGGTTCTCCATCTGCCATGTAGTGTGCATCTTGGGAGAAACACGTGAGTGGAGATCACCTGGAAATCTCTCTCCAAAGCCTTCTGAGCGAACAAAGAATATGTCAGACCCCAACCCAGGCCCCTGGTGCAGTCCTATGAGCCCTGGAAGCTGCCCCTGGAATGTGGAGTCCTCGAGGTGAAACTTGGCCAAAGCTTGGCATGCCCTGAATCCAGTGACTTCTCACCTGCCTCTTACCTCTGCCTGCGTTATGCCACCCTCGTCTCTTGGCTCCCTCCCTTCCCTGGGCAGATTTTTAACTAATAGTATGCTTAGGGAGCCTCCATAAGTCACCACATGTGGGGGGAGTGGCGCGTACAGCAAAGAAATAGTTTGCATGAAGAGACAGCTCAGGAGGACCAGACCAATGGGAACCGGGGTCCGAGAGCAAAAAGCTTAGGTATAAAAAGACCATAGAAAAGCCTGCAGGATCCGGGCTGCAGTCCCCAAGGAGAGCTTGGGAGGCAGGGTGTGTTGGGATCCCAGACTGTGGCCTGGGGATTGGGGTTGAAGGGTCCTTGGGGACTCCAATCCAGGTGCACCATTTGCAAGAGGCACTGAACACCGGGATTCTAGGGCAGCTCGGGTAGAACAGCCACTTCCATGCACAGCTATGGTGACTGGACCTGTGTGGAGGGCTGGGGATAGAGTTTGTCAGCTTTCCTCCGGCATAAGGTGTCTTTTCCGAGGCTGGGGCCATTCTCAGGTTCAGAAGGAACTTCAGGATCTAGAAGACCTGGGAAAACAGTGAACATTCAGCCAAGGCTACTCCCAGAAGAACCCAAACCCATGGCAGTCAGTGAACATGGGCTGGCAGCAGCTAAACACCTCACACGCTACATTTTCTGCCCCTTTTAGTCACCGTACGAGCATC